TTACTTGTTAGGTATCATGACTCACTGGAGTGTGGGTTCCTCAAGGGCAGGAATAGCTTCTTGGTTATCTTTATCTCTGCTCCCCCGGGCGAGGTGTTCTTGGTAGGTCTGCTTCCTGATGTTCACAGTCTATTGGAGGGAAACAAACAATAAATAGCCAGACAGGTCTGCTGTCCGGAGGGCTATGCTAATGAGATAGAGGCACTGGAGAACTGGGAGAAGCTAAGGTGCCAGAGCTAAGGTCGGGAAGGGTGGCCAGCCTTTGGGCAAAGGGAGAGTGAGTCAAATGAGGTCTCAGAGAAGACAGTTTCAAGCACAAACCAGCACACAAACAAGCCCTACGGTGTGGTGTGAGCCCTGGAGAGAGACTGTTGTGACTGGCTATAATAACATGAATGACAGGATTAGTGATAAGAAGTAGGGTGATGACCGCTTCCAATTTTACAGGGGAATGAAACTGAGAAGCCATTGGAGGGTTCTGAGGAGAAGCTTGATCAGCTATGACTCAACATTTGAAGGATCATACTGGCTTCTGTCAAGAACAAACAAAAGAAGTGCTTAGAGAAACACCCCATTGGCCCAGTGCTTCCCTAGCATGCATGAAGCCCTGGCTTCATTCAACCAGCACAGAGATAAACTGGGCACGGTGGCACAGCTTTTGATTTCAGAACTTGGTAAGTAGAGGTAGAAGAATAGCCTTAATTTAGAGGCCAGCCTGACTGTTGTGTGACAAAACTTCTCCTGAGGAGATGTCTACTCCCATCCACTCACCCCAGATGGGAGCCCACGACAGACCCAAGTACAGATGCGAACAAAGTCCAACTTGGTGAACCAATGGATTTTATTAGCAGAAATTACTCAAAGACAGCCTGCATCAACCAAAGCTCACTGCAGCATGGGTGACAGCTATAAAAAGCTGGGAGCCTGGAACACACTCTGCAGCTTGCAGGAAGCTCAATAGGTTAGAGGGTGTCCTTTCCAGGTGTCTCAGTGGTCTACACCTCTTCTGATTTGGTCTCAGAGTGTTCTTTGCAGCTCTGGTTAGCTGAGAGACTTCTTTGAAGCTCAGTTTCTGACATCTGAAACAGACTCTTCAGCTTTTACGGCTTACTCTGGCACAAAGGGGCCTAGTGAATCTGGTCAGTTTCAGGGACTTCCTGAAGCTATTTTGAGTTTGTTTACCTTTCTATTTAAAGAGGTTTCCTGTAGGATGGAATCTTGGAGAAAACTTTTACACAAAACTGGTCTACATACTGAGTTTCAGATGACCTATTGTTATGTAATAAAACCCTGTCTCAAAAAAAAAAAATTGAGGTAAAGTGCTTGTCACATAAGCACAAGGACCTGAGTTCAATCTCTGGAGCTGAGGTGAAAATGCTAGGCTGCTTGCTTGTGATCCTAGCACTGGGGAGCAGAGATAGGCAGAGTCCTGCGGTTCACTGGCTTGACAGCCTAATCTTACTGTCAAGTTCTAGGTGAGTGAAAAGCCTATGGTGAAAGAAGTAATGGTACCTAAGAAAGGGCATCTGATTGGCCGCTGGATTCCACACGCCTGTGCAGACATGCACATACCTGCAGCCACAGGAAAACGAATGAGCACCCATGCCTAACATATGACTCCCAACATCTTCAAGAACATTAAAGACCACATAAAACCACAAAGCAAAAACAAAAATAGCTCTCCATCCCTATTTTTTAAATTTTAATTTAATTAATTAATTTATTTGTGTATGTTCGTGCCACCATGTGCATGAGTAGACCAGAGGACAACTTTGAGGACTCAGTTCTTTTTTTTTTTTTTTTTTTTTTTTTTTTTTTTTTCCACCACAGGCATTCCAGGGTTTAAATTCAAGCCATTAGGCAAAGCAGCAAGTGTCTTTACCTGCTGAGCCATGTCACCAGCCCCAGATGCTGGAGACCCTTCAAGCCAGAGTAAGTCTTGTTGAAGTATTTAATGTAGGAAGTGAGAAAAAGAGTGGAAGCAAAGATGAATGGATAACAAAATGAGTGAGTGTGGGCTGGAGAGATGGATCAGTAGTTAAGAGCACTTGCTGTTCTTGCAGAGGATCTGGGTTCAGTTCCCAGCAAAGCTGTTCACAACTGTTGGTAACTCCAGGGTCAGGGGATCTGATTCCCTCTTCCGGCTGCCTTGGGCACCAGGCACCTGTATGCTGCATATCCATTCATGTGGGGAAAACACTCCTATACGTAAAATAAAATACAAAGACTCAAGCATCTTTTAAAAAGTGTATGCATTGAGTGTGTGTGTGTGTGTGTGTGTGTGTGTGTGTGTGTGTGTGTGTTACCAGGCTGTCTAGATCAGAAAACAGATAAGAGGAAAATATTAACAGACAGAAGATTTATGTTATCTTTATATACTTCAATTTACTAACAAAGAGGAAAGACAGATCATTAGTATGAGAATGAAGAAAGTTTTTTTTTTTTTTTTAAAGAAATTTAAAGACAGAGAGAGTTGAGCCTATCTCTTAAGGAGAAGACTAAAGACAAGGGAAAGACCAGATATGATAGCACATCTGTAATCCCAACAGTGGGAAGATGGAGACAGGAGGATCAGGAGTTTGAGACCAGGATAGGTTACACAAAGCTAACGTGAGCTATAGAGCAAGACCCTGTTTCAAAAGAAAAGAAAATAAACAAGAAACAAACAAACGAACAGACAAACAAAAAGAAAGACAAATGGATCCATGAAGATATCAAGTTCCTGGAAACAGTGAACTGTAATTCACAGCCTTCCTCTTTCTTTAAGCCTTCCCAGGACTCCCCAAGCCACTGCCACCTGACTGCCAAACTATGCCAAAACTATGGCCACCAGACACCAGAGATTTTCTTTCCTATTGTATTAACTTTGGTTTTTAGAGAGCAGGGTCTCACAGCCTCGTTTGACCTGGAACTATGTAGCCCAGAATGACCTGGGATTCACAATTCTTTTGTCTCAGTTTCATGTGGCTCCCTCAGCAACTGGAGCAGGGCTCTCTCTGACTCTGATGCCTCCCTTTGGATCCTGTTTCCCTAACTGGACTGTCTTGTCTGGCCTCAGTGGGACAAGATGCCCATAGTTCTGCAACAACTTAATGTGCCAGTTCAGGTTCATATCCAAGGAGAAGGGAAAATGATGTGTGTGTGTGTGTGTGTGTGTGTGTGTGAGGGAGGGACTAGGAGGAGAAAGAGGGAGCTGCAGTCAGGATGTAAAGTGAATAAATAAATTAATTAAAAAATTAATTCCCCATGAGTATAAAAGTATTTTCTAGGGGCTGGAGAGATGGCTCAGAGGTTAAGAACACTGTCTGCTCTTCCAAAGGTCATGAGTTCAATTCCTGGCAACCACTTGGTGGCTCACAACCATCTATAATGTGAACTGATTCCCTCTTCTGGCAGGTGTAAATGCAGATAGAACACTCATATACATAAAACAAACAATTCTTAAAAAAAAAAAAAGAGGGTATCAGATCTCAGTATAGATGGTTGTGAGTCACCATGTGGTTGCCAGGAATTGAACTCATGACCTTTGGAAGAGCAGACAGTGCTCTTAACCTCTGAGACATCTCTCCAGCCCAACAAGGTAATTTTTTAATGTTGTAAAAATTAATTTGAGCCGGTTGTGGTGGCACACACCGGTAGGATTTGCTGAAGGAGGAAGAGGCAGGAGGATCACGAGTTCGAGGCCAGCCTGGGCTACTTAGTTTTGCTCGAATATAGCCCATGGTAGCTCAGTATCAGGTTTTGCTAGTAAGGTGAACAAGAACTATTTCTGACATGAACTCAATGGCTGGCTCTTCGACCCCCCAGGGAGGAGCAGCCTTGCTAGGCCACAGAAGAGGACATTGCAGCCAATCCTGAAGAGACCTGATAATCTAGGGTCAGATGGAAGGGGAGGAGGACCTCCCCTATCAGTGGACTTGGAAAGGGGCAGGGAGGAGATGAGAGAGGCATTGGGAGGGAATGAGGGAGGAGGCTACGGCTGGGATACAAAGTAAGTAAACTGTGATTAATATAAAAAATATAAATTACTATAAAAAAGCTGAACATAAAATGAACTAAAAATGTAAATAAAATGTAACATAATAAAAAAATTAATTTGAAGTGAAATCAAATTCATCATTAAAAGGAATGGTGATACAATGCCTATAATATAAAATAAACCAATAAACAGTAAAAGTAAATAAATAAATAAATAAATAAATAAATAAATAAATAAATAAATAAAATTTTACTACTGGGGCTAGAGAGATGGCTCAGCGGTTAAGAGCACTGAGTGCTCTTCTAGAGGACCCAAGTTCAATTCCCAGTGCCCACAGGGCAGCTCACAACTGTCTGTAACTCCAAGGGCTAACACCCTCATACAGACATACATGCAGGCTAAACACCAATGCACATAAAATAAAAATAAATAAATTTTTTTTAAGTAACCTAAATCTGGGCAGTAGTGGTTCATGTCTTTAATCTTAGCACTTGGGAGGCAGAGGCAGGCAGATCTCTGAGTTCGAGGCCAGCCTGATCCACAAAGGGAGTGCAGGACGGGCAAGGCTACACAGAGAAACTGTGTCTTAAAAAACAAAAACAAACAAAAAATGGAGTCTTAAAAAAATACTTTACTGTCCTTAGCATCTTCAAGATCCTTCATCGTTCAGTTTAAGTCCCCTTTACCCTTTGCCTCCATGACACACCTATTCCCATGGCCTGGCCATCCTGAACTAGCGTGATGCCACTGTTCAGAGTCCTGTCTGCCCCTGCTTTGGTGCCCATCCCTGCTGTCTAATGTGTCTGTTTGCCAATTATCATCTCCCCTTGGCTGACTTCTAGCTCATCCTCTGCACCCCAGCCTCCTCAGCCTCCCCTGGGGGTTCATCCCTCACATGCAAGGCAGACGCCTGCTCTTGATCTCCTCACCACGGCTTGCACTTTGTATGGCTTGTGATTGCTTATTTTTGCTACCACTTCCACTGGGTTGTAAGCCTCTTAGAGATAGGAAACACGGAGCTGTGTCATATGAAGGGAAAGAAGTTATCACTCCCTTGACACAGATGGAAGAAGCCTTGGGGTTCGATAAACGTGCAGTTAAGGCATTGCCACCTGATTATTGGTATCTAACCATTGCTGGACCTCCACTCCTGGGTGACGCAGCTCAACAACAGAGTACTTGACAGGTAGGCATGAGGCCCTAGGTGCAATCCCTGGCAGAGGGAAAACAATCTGGCAACCATCCAGGAAACATGCCTCTTACTGTTTTACAAATTTATTTTGGTTCTTTGACATGGAATCTCACACTCTAGGTTTCCCTGGCTGGCTTAGAACTCACTCTGTAGCCCAGACTGACCTTGAACTCATAGCAACCCTCCTGCCTTAGCTTCCTAAGTGGTAAGATTACAAGCGTGCATCTCATGCCATGCTAGGAAGTATGTCTTATAAAACCTCAAGACAAAGGCTGGCAAGATGTCTCAGTGGTAAAGGCACTTGCCATGCAACTCTAAACAAACTACTGAGTCTCATCCCCAAAGTGCATGATAGAAAGAATGGAAACTTCTGAAAGCTGTCCTTCGCCCTGCCCCACACCATAGTATATGTGCACCTCACTCCCCAAAACAACAATAGATAAAATTTAAAAATAATCCTTCAGAAGAAGCCGTGGAGTTGGCTCAGTGGGTAAGAGTGCTTGCTGAGCAGGTGTGAGGACCTGAGTTAGAATCCCCAGCATCTATATTAAAAGCCAGATATGGCTGCATATGTGCCTGAAAACCCAGCCCCAGAAGGGGGCTGAGACAGCTGGACCACTAGGGTTTGCTGGCTGCCAGCCTAGTTCCAGATTCAATGAGAGACCCTGTGTCAAGGGAATAAGCTGGAGAATGAGAAAGCAGGGCAGCTGATGTTCTTCTCTGGCGTCTGTGTTCATACTACATACATACACCACACACACACACACACACACACACACACACACATCATCATCATCATCATCATCATCATCATCATAATCTCAACCGATTATCCTAATATATAAATATATAGCAGGTATATGATAACTTTGTTGTTGATCATTAAATAAGTGAACAAGTGAAATGGTGGGTGAACAGAAAGAGAATGCACAGCTAGACAGAGACTCGGTAGAAATAGTAGAGGATGGTTTGGGAATGTATTTCCTAAGTGAGGAAGAACAAGGAGGGAAGGAGGGAAGATGTGGTAAGAGCTGGTCAACTCCAGGTGAGGGGAGGAAACCGGGAGGATTGTCCTGGAAAGTGTCTGTTTCTCTCTGTCCAGCCACGGGTGAGATCTTCCTTTTTCTTCTCTCGGGCCAGGCAGGGTGGTAGTGCACACCTGTCCTTCCAGCACTTAGGGGCGGCAGCAGCATGGGGGAGTCGAAGGCTAGCCTCAGCTACATAGAAGCTCTAGGCCAGTCTGGGTTACACCAAGCCCTGTCTCTGTATCTGAATAAATGGGGGCTGGAGAAATGACCCAGTGGTGGACAGCACTGACTGCTTTTCCAGATGACTCGTGTTCCATTCCCAGCACCCACGTGGCAGCTCACAACTGTCTGTAACTCCAATTCTAGGGAACCTAAGCCCTCTTCTGGCCTTCATAGGCACCAGGCACACAAGTGGTACACAAACATACGTGCAAGCAAAATGCCCACACACATACAAAAAAATAAATAACTAAGTAAGAGTCTTCATTTTAGCGAGGCACGGTGGATGCCTGCCTGTAATCCCGGCACCCAGGGAGACAGAGGCGGGCAGATCACTGTGAGTTGAAGCCAGCCTGGTCTACAAAGCGAGTCCAGGACAACCAAGGATACACAGAAAAACCCTGTCTCGAAAACCAAAAACAGTGACAACAACAATAATAATAATAATAATAATAATAAAATAAAAATTAAAAAGTCTCCATTCTGTTCTTTAATCTGATAACTTCGTCTCCAGCATTGGGAGGCTGCAGTTAATAGTCTGTACTTCTCTTGTGTGGACCTGGGCTCAGTTCCCAGCACCCACCTAGGGTAGCCCACAACTGCCTGTAACTCCAGCTCTAGGGGGACCTGATGCCTCCATCCTCTGTGGCCACGAACTCTCATCTTAACGATCAGATATATACTCAATTAAATAAACATTTGAAAATTGAAAATTCGGAGACCAAAGAGCTCACATAGGGCAGGGCTTTGAGGGCTTTAGATAGGCAGCAGTGGGCTCACTGATTATCAGTTACATCTGACTTTAAGTCCATCCAGCTGGAAATCACTCATTTCCAAAGCCATTCCCATTTCTCTCACCCCTGCTCATTCTTCCTTTGCATTGCCATTGCTGTGGTACCAGGAACTGAAAACAGTCTGTTTGCTCTAAATTACCTTGAAAAGCTTCAGTGGCTCTATCCTTACCAAGTAATGTTAGCTTTGTTTTTAATCCAAGTGGAAAAAAATAAAGGGATAAAACTGATATCATCCCTAAATGAGATGTATGTCTGTTCATACAAGTCGTGCTTAAGTCTAATTGTATGGCCTAAGAGTCCCTGCAGCCATCCAGCCAATTTTCTAAGGCTACCAGGACCACAGTTCAGTTGATCTAATTCAGAACAAATTTTTATCCGTAGATGGGATGGAAAATCTAGGTGAGGATTAAGGTCATGGCCAAGGTACAAGAGGAGAAGGAAGTCTGAGTTAATTATAACCTAGGTTCTGCCGTCTTGATTCCAGGAAGCTGTCCCTTAGCTAGGTGGACAACGTGCTGATTGAGGGACATTCTTAGAGCATTAGAGTTCTAGAGTTCTGAGACATATTCCATATGGAACAGTGTCAGTACTGAGTGGCTAGAAATCTGTCATTTAAAAAGACCTTTGAAGCAAGGATTTGGCTATTTTCTTTGCAGCAATTGTAACTAGCCTGAAAGATTTCCCAAAAGCCATCACTCTCAAGACCAGTTTGGTAAAGGTATTTTGGCATGTTTTTGTTGTTTAACGTGCTAAGAATAGCACCAAAGGACTTGTACATACCAGGCCAACCCAACCCAACATGCTACAAAGGGCTACATTTCAGCTTCTTCACATGTTTTTGAATATATATCATAATGCCTACTTTAAAGCACTTAATTTTTTTTACATTGTGTGTGTGTGTGTGTCTACAGAATACCACAACGTGTGCATTTGGAAGTCAGAAGACAATTTGTGAGAAGTAATTCTCTCTTTTCATTATGTGTTTTCCAGGGATGGAACTCTAGGCTTGAAGCAAGTTCCTTTACCTGATGAGCCGTATTGCTGGTCCCCACTGCATTTATTTGTTAATTTTTAAGACTTTGGAAATTATTACTAGCTGGGTGGTGGTGGCATACACATTTGATTCCAGCATTAGAAAGGCAGAAACAGGCAGATCTCTGAGTTCAAAGCCATCCTGGTTTACAGAGTGAGTTCCACAATACCAGGACTACAAAAAGAAATGCTGTATTAAAAAACAAACAAACAAACAAACAAACAAACAAACAAACAATTATTGCCTGGCTGGAGAAATGGCTCAGTGGGTAAAAGCACTTGTGGAGTCGGATTCCCTGTACCCACATGGAAACTTACAACCACCTGTAACTCCAGCTCCAGGAATTCCATTGCCTGATTCTGACCTCTGCAGGTGCCAAGCGTGCATGGAGTGCATAGACATGCATGCAGGCAAAAAACCTAAACACATAAGATAAGAGACTACTACCTCAGCGCACTGCATACATATTTAGGCATCACACAGCACCCCATGAATACCTATAATTTTTATGTTTTTATGTCAGCTCAAAAATAATTTAATTTACAAATTCAGCAGTGGACAATTGTATAAAGACATACTACTTATCTTTTGGGAGATGACAGTACAAAACAGATAAATAAAACCATGAGACACAGCCACCATTAAAAGACAAAGATTTCATGCTCTGTGGGTACACAATTGCATATATATATAAATATGCATGCCAGAGGTCAACCTTGGGAATGGTCCACTTTTTTTTTTTTTTTTTTTTTTTTTTTTTTTTGGGACAGAATCTCTCACTGGTCTTGACCTAACCAAGAAGGTTAGGCTGGCTAGCCGGAGAGCCACAGGGATCTGCCTGTCTCTGTCTTCCCAGTGCTAGAATTATAAGTCATCATAGTTTTTGTTGTTGTTATTTGTTTGTTTGTTTTATGAGACAAAGTCTATGTAGCCCTAGCTGGCCTGAAACTCTGTGTAGATCAGGCTGGCCTGAAATTCACAGAGATCTGCCCGCCGCAGTCTCTCCAGTACTGAAATTTATGGTGTGTGCCACCACTCCTGGCATACTTGGTTTTGAATATGGATGCTAAGGTTGAACTTACCACCACACTGATTGAGCCATTTCCCTATCTCTAAGACTTCACACTCTAACACAAAAATGTAAGCCTAAGTCAGGTATGGTGGTTTGCTTCTATAATCTCGGGAGAGTCCTAGGCAGGAGGATTGCTGTGAGGCCAGCCTGGGCTACACATTGAGAAACACATCTCTATATCTCAAACCAGACAAACACTGATGTGCTGGCTTATGTGTGTCTTATGAAGTCATATGAAGCTGGAGTCATATGAAAAGAGGGAAGCTCAATTAAGAAAATGACCCTATAGGAGCCAGCTGTAAGGCATTTTCTTAGTGATTGACAGAAGAGGGCCCAGCCCATTGTGGGTGGTGCCATCCTTGGGCTGGTGGTCCTGGGTTCTAGAAGAAAGCAGGTTGAGCAGGCCATGTTGAACTAGCCAGTAAGCAGCATCCCTTCATGGATTCTGCATCAGCTCCTGCCTCCAGGTTCCTGCCCTGTTTGAGTTCCTGTCCTGACTTCCTCCAGTGATAAACTATGATCTGGAAGTGTAAGCTGAATAAACCCTTTCCTCCCCAACTTGCTTTTGGTTATACTGTTTCGCTGAAGCAATAAAAACTCTCCACTGAGACAAATGATAGCAAAAAGCTGAGTATGTGTGGTGGCATATGCTTGTAAACTCAGCATGTGTGAAGTGGAGGCAGGAGAATCACTGTAAGCTGTGGGCCAGCTTGATCTCTATAGAAAGCTATACCTTGAGATATGGAGTGAAACCCTGCCTCAAAAACTGAAATAAATACTTTTTCTTTTAAAACATAATTCTAA